CTACTATGCGAATGGCTGAACACTGTCCGGACACTTCGTGGCTTGGAGGCAGACGACGTATTGCTATCAAGCAGAAGAGAGGACGTATGGATTGGCATAAGAATTTGGACCTGGCGGCTTGAACTTGAATAACGAATGCTCATATACGCAACCTCTCTCCGTGTGTCGGCCTCGATGCCATCCTTAACTCGCTGTCGTGATTTCGGTACTTGTCATCACATTTCATCATTGGTGTTCACGGTTCGATCTGGGAGCGGGCTACCAGTGAGACTGTCGAAACAACGTGGAATTAGGACCGCGAGTTGAAAGCACTCCAGGATGTGGCGAGATGACATGGTGATAGTTCTTCCGCAACTTCGTAATTTGGCTTTCTTCTTCTCACTAAACCTCATCTCACCACGTCCCCTTTCTCGCTTCCTCCTTGGTATCCAGAAAAACAAAAACAGCGGCCAGGGGTTGTGCAAGAATAAGGCCTTTTTACAGCAATGCCGGACAACAGACCATCCAGAGGCAGAACCATCTAGAGGCGTGCCGAAATAGCAACTAATAATTGGTACTAGTATCCAACCAAAAAAGACGAGAATGACATATTTCCACCTTCCGTTTTTCTTTCTTCTCTAAGCTCCCGCTATGCAAAAAAAAAAAGAAAAAAAAAAAGGGTAGAACCTGAAGGCGACGCATGCTAGTAGTACACGGTTACAGCAGACGAGGGTGTGATGATTGGAACGCAGTACGCCGTAAGAATAGATGGATGTGCGATGTCTCATATTATTGTAGTTTGCTGTTGCTGGTATCGAGGAGTTCGTCGTGGTAATGTTCATCGCGGAGACAACGGGCTCCGTCCAGGACCCTGTGACTTCCGCATCTTTTGCAGCTCTTCCTCGAGTCTTCTCCTCTTGGCTTGCTCCTCCTGTTTACGTCGTCAGCATATTGAAATCACATAGGCAAAGCCTGGATGACATACCCTCATGTCCTCTTGGAACTTCTTCCTCTCCTCTCTCATCGTGGTGCGGAACTGTTCGCTGAGCATCGAAGCACCGGCACCGCGAGCGCCAGTGCCCGGGGTCACCTTGAGGCGCGCGTCGTCGAGCTCCTCCTGCAGCTTTGACAACTTGGACCTCGAAGTGTTGACCTCGGCATCAAGTTCGTCCTTCAACGAGCTAATCTCACCCTCGAGGCTCGACTTGACTGCAAGCGCATCATCGAGCTTGGTCTCGACCTCGAACTTCTCCCTTTCGGCATTGATCGTCTCGGCCGTGATGTTCTCCAGCTCCTTGAGTGTGGAGGCGAGCTCCTCCTTGAGCCTGTCAACCTCTGCCTTGAGCTGGGTGACCTCAACGGTGCTCTTGACAGCCGCGGCTTGGTTGGCCCTCTCCTTACGAGAGCCATACGCACCATCGAGCTCGGCTTGTGCAATGGTCAGCTCCGTCTTGAGCTCGACAATCATCATATTGAAACGTTCAATCTCTTCTTCCTTCTCCTTGACTTCCTTGTCCTTGGCTGCGACCTCTTGCTGCTTCTCGACTGCCGCTTTCTCGGCTCCGGCCAGCCTAGTCGTTAGGAGCGCTACTTCTTCGTTGGCCTTGCTTAACTTGCTGTTCATGTCCTGGACGTTCGTGTTAAGGCTAGCAAGTGTCGTTTGGGCTTCCTTGCTGCTTGCCTCTAGAGACGCGATCTTGGCATCACGTTCCTTGATCTCGTCTTGGGACTTGGCACTGCTGGACTCGTTGGCCATGCGCGTGGTGGTAGCGGCCTCTGCCTCCTTCTGCGCCTTGGCAAGCTTCTCCTGAGTCTCAGCAACCTCCTCCTCGGATCGTTCGAGCAGTGACCTAAGCTGGTCCAACTGATCCTGCTTGAGCGTAAGCTCTAGTGCCTTCTCTTCCTCGGCTCGCATCTGAGTTGATCGTAGCTGGTCGAGCTGGTCTTGCTTTGTCTTCAGCTCCTCGTCCTTTTGCGAGTCGGACTTGTTGTTCAACTCTCGCTGCTGCTTGATCTGGCGCTTGAGAACGGACTTCTGCTCCTTTAGACTCGTGGCTTGGCTGTAGAGCCACTGCACCTTTGTAGAGAATGCTGACAACGAGTAAGGTTCTGATGTATCGACAGCTTCGTCTCCAGACATGTCGTCATCGTTATCAGATCTGCCCTGCTCGATGCGTGTGCGCCGGCGGTCTGCCTTCTGCTGCTGAATGCTTGCGAACCCAGTCTGGATGATTTCCCACAGGCCCATCAGTACGACTTCGGCCTGCTCGTCGTCTTGCTTCTTGACAGCCGACTTGCTGGCATTCTTCTTCATCTGCTCTTCTACGACAGATAGAGCGCTCTGGAGCCACTCGAACTGCGTGTCGATGCCAGAGTCTGGGACTTCGGGGTAGCTTGGATCGACTCCAATCAGGAGGTCTCGCATTTTCTGGTTCACATCCTCGAGGCGGCTTTCTGCTTGTGTGAGGGCGATAGATGCTTGAGCTGCGGCAGCCTCCGCGTCTTGCAGACTACCAGTCGATTGTCCTTGAAGTTCTTGTTCCTGGCGCACAGTCGACAGACCTGCCTCCAGATACTCGAATTGGCTTCCCAGTGTAGCGCCAGGATCGGCTGGCCCTTCCACTGCTAGTGAGGGAGGTTCCCGGAAGCCTCCGTTCTTGGCTGGATTAAAGTTTATAATTACGTCTCGTAGAGTTTTGTTGTATGTCGTTAGCTTCTGTTCCGTGTCGGAAACGGACTGTAAGCGTTGTGCGTTCTCCTTTTTGAGCGAGTCAATCTCACCGCTCAGGGCATCAGTTTGTGCCTGAAGCTGAGTGTTCTCTTCCCGAAGGCTGTTCAACGCGTCGGCTTGCGCGCGTAGTCTTGCGTTCTCCTCCCTCAGCTTGTCAGCCTCCTCTCGCAGTTGTGCATCCTGCTCACGACTCGGCGCCTTTGAGGGGATGTCGAGCGGAGCAACTCTTGGTTTTCCGCGAGGCGGGCTTATGTTGCTGAGATCCTGGAAAAGTCCATCCTCATCAAAGGAGTCGTCTCCGACCTCAAGACTATTGCGGCCGTTGGAGTAAGTGTACAAGCTCTCTGGGCTTCCGGGTATCCCATTCATCAACTGTTGGGGGATTTGATTCACGGGCTTTTTGGATGCCTTGTGCGTCAGCTGGAGGATGCCAGCGGTGTGCTCCAGGAGGCCCCTCTGCGATTCCACGAGGCGCTGTTCGAGGCTCCGCAGTTCGTTCGACAGGTCGTCGACTCGTTTTTCGCTGACTTGTCGCTCCGCCTCGGCCTCGCGCAAAGACTCGCCCATGCTGTTGCGATTACTGCCCATCAAACTCCTCCTCTTGCCAGCCTCGGGCTGCGAGTATAGCTTGGCCATGGATACAGCAGCATCTCGATACTTGGTCTGGATAGCGAGGTTCGTGCGTGTTTGTTCCACCCGTAAGCTCAAGGATTGGATCTGTTTCTTGAGCCCGTCCACCTCCTCCTGTGACAATATTCGGTATTGCTTGCTGTCCGTCAATGCCGTCTCCGTCAATAGGTGAACTTGAATCGGGTCCTTGAGGTCAACCAGGGCGGAGCTCGGTGGTAGCTTGGCATTCGTCTACGTGACGTTAGATGCGTCTGAACTAGGCTGGCTAGACCAGTGAAGAGGACTGACCGGATTAACGCGCAGAGGCGCCCCTCCAAAGTTGTTCATAATGTCTCTCCTGAGGCCATCCCCACCTATTGACCTTCCGCCAGGGCCAGCAGCCCGGGGCGGCGAGGGTCTCCCCGGGGAGTACCCGTTCATGATATGGGGTCAGATGTGTAGCAAAGGACGGCACGCGTCAAATCATTATATTACAGCGGAATCGTAGAGTCGTAGGTAGCTTATGATGTCGTTGCGGCCGTGGGAAGCATGTTCGTCGGACGGATACGAGGAGGCTAAAGTGCTCGTACACACGTCGGATGGGGACGTTTGAACAATGGTACAGCGAAGCGTGGAAGGACAAAGGGTGGCTGGCGCGTGGGATTTGTGCCGAAACCCCTTGGTGGGAAGCAAGGGGGTTGTTCGCCGTTACAGTATCGAGGTCGCTATCGCCGTGGAGACGGGGGAGGTCGTCGGGGGACGGATTCAGCACCAGCCGCTTCGCAAAGGGTGGTCGAGGGGGGAAAGTTGCGAGGTTAAAGAGAGTGTTTCCCCCGGCGAGGCATAGAATCCTTTTCGCTCAGAACGAGAGGTGGATCGGTGTGTGCAAAAGCGACTACGAGGTGCAGAGTGTGCAGGTGCAGGTTCAGGTGCTGTTGAGTTCGCCGTCCCAAAAATTGAGTTGGGTGACCTGTCGCAGCGGGTGGCAGTCTGGCAGACATATTTGACACTACCGCAGCAAAAGCGCCCCCCGGCCCCCTGGCAGATGGTTCATAATTGGCGATGCTTCGCAGCTCCCACTTCGGGGGGGCTCTTGCGCTAAGCTTATTTGGGTTCGTCCCTTGCCCGTTTTCCCTGCGTCGCTGCGGCTACCTTCCCTTTACGCTATTGGCAGATGGGCCCGTTGGTCAGCAGTACGTACTGCACTATTCCACGCTAGGTAGTCAGAGTCAGCGGACCGTATTTTTAGTTTAAGGATCTCTGACTGCTGCATCCGCCTCATCCATCTGCGTGGTCCGTGATAAATCAAAACCTCTTCACACCTCTTTCAACTCAAGCAAGTTCTGAAAGCTTGCTGGTTTTTGAATAATTATTTTTTCTTTTGGTATCGGTGATGCTTACGCCATTTGGCGTTGAATTGGTCGTCATCGCATCCGCATAAGACCGGCCTGCGTCTGCAATCTGAGAGTGAATTACACCGTAATTTCGGGTTTCCTCCCAGCCAGGATCTTGGTCCAGGATTACGCTATACTAACCCATTTTGAGAACCGCCCGAACCTCTTTCGGGCACCTCATTATTGATCATCCCAAGAATGGCCACCAGTCTTCCCAGGTCCACCATGAACTGTGAATGGTTCATCGGGTTATTTATATTATATGAGCAAGACCCTCTGGATTATTCGATAGATTGAGTTGACCAGCTCGTGCTCCTGACCAGTTGCAGGACCATATCGAAGTCTTACTGCGTTTGCCATGGCTTTACTCCGCATCCGTAATGCACAACGTTTTCCTGACGGTTGAAGGCATATCCTTGGTAGAGAGTATGCATGGAATCTCGAAATTACATAACGAGGTGAGCTAGAATACGTGGTCTCACAGACATTTATGTCTATGTCATCATCAAAGGCTTCAATAGCAAACCCAAGTCGATGTAAGTGATAGCTTGTGTCTTTTCAGAACTGTGTCATCTCAGTCTTGGCGCCTATCTTGACCAGCTGGTCTCCTCCGTCCTGCGTCCCCATCCACCTGGCCCTGCGCGCCCGAGGTGGTTGCAGATGAACCCTCTCCCTCCAACCGCCTTCGAAGACCCTCAAATTCCGTCCGTCTTCTCGGCGTCTTGACACCGACCATCCATCCGGGAAGGCGCCATTTTGTCAACGCAACAGGTAGCAAGTCGTTCCTCCACGAGTATCCCACGACCCAGCCAACCGCAGCTCCCAGCAACGATCCCGGCCACTGAAAAAGTGCCAGCTGCAAAGCGAGAGCGTAGCGATATGACTTGTCAGAGAATGTCAATCCGACAAATTGGTCGTTCGTGGGCGGAGCCGAGGAAGCCGCGACGCGGTATCGATAAGTGCTGGGGATCGCAGCGTGATACTGCGCGAGTATGGCAAAGATAATCGGGGTTGGGCCGGCTGGCATGTAGTTGAATAGGCCCGCGGTCAATGGCCGTAGTATGATGGATAGGAAAACAGGAGGTATCACTGCAGTGATGAGCGCGGATACAGCTACAAATGACTGCGGCATGGTAAGCATTCTTAGGACTACTGCCCGGGTCTCGTGGCAACTCACAGCGTATTTCCTTGAACCCCATATTTGTTCAACAACCCTCAAGTGGTAGAGAGTCATTGATGCAAAGAGCACCTCGCTCGAGTTGGTGCAGCATAGCTGGTACGCCAGCAGGCGCCAGAGCTGGTGGTAGCGCCATAGATGGGTATCTACGACAATGTAGAAATAATGCTTTACATCGAGCAAACTGGCCGCAATGGAGCTCGTCACAAGGCCAAGAACGAGGGTGCGCGTCACTGGCGCATTCGTGAAAGACATGTTGTGGTTGAACGTCTATCGCATCGTAGGTCGAGTTGCTTTCTCAGCAACACACAATCGGTAGAGGGGCAATCGAGGACGCTCCCTTGCCCTTCGGTTGAAGCAGGCACCTGCTTTGGCTCGATTTGGATGCTCCCTTGCTGTGAGGGGTTACTTTGCCAGTTACCACAGAGCTTGAGCAGATCGTGTACTGATAGTGTTGCGCAAGTTTATGGTGTAGTCGGAATCGACGTGGGCGGTGCCGGAAAGCGAAGGGCGGCCAGAGGATCGTTGATGCCAGGTGGTTTCTTTGGCTGTCGTCGAACCCACTCGGAGCTGGATGCACAGCTTGTGCCGTCCCTTCTCCAGCACTACCGGTATGTGTGTGTGTGTGTTCCTTGTTCAAAGCCGACTGGACTTTAGGTGTACAATTGGAGAATGGCCCCAGCCTCAGGCGTTGCGTCGACGCCACGAAAGAGGTGGGCCATTAGAGCGCAAGACCCACATGTTCAGACTTTCCCGTGCAATGACGAGGCTGGCTGCATTGGCTGGACTCGTGGAGGGCTGAGTGTGGCTTGCCCACCCGCCAGATCCCCGGATTGTCATTCGCTCAACGAATTGCTGGGCAGCTTTCCACTCAGTGCCACCCTTGCGTCCCTTGCGTAACCCTGTCACGACGTATTTCTGTGAGGCGCAGAGCTCTGGGCACACGCCGCCGCTGCCGTTACTCCAAGCTTGAGATCCTAGGCGGGTACTTTATCCAAGTTGCCAGCAGAGCTGACGCGACACTCACGTAGTGACACCACTGGTTTCTTGTTCTTGTTTATAATACTTTGTGGAAGATATCCGGCCTGCTTTCTCATCCCAATCACTTACTTTTCGAGAAATCCTCTCAGCGCATAATCCAACACAGTTACAGCTTTCCATCCCCTTACGCAGAGCATCGCGCTCCAGAACCCGGCCAGGCAGCATGTCGGAAATATTCATCAACCACATCACCCGATGGCTCTTTAGTTCGCCGCCCGCTGAGTGGGCAATAAGTCAACTGCGCGAACTCCTCATTGGAGCCTTGAAGCAAGGTCCAGTCCCTCAACATGTTGCATTCGAGATGGACGGCAATAGGCGGTATGCCCGCGGCAGGAAGATGGAGACGATAGAGGGCCACCACCACGGTTTCGAAGCCCTAGCAAGAGTGCGCCATCCAACCGCTTCATCCTGTTCTTTGTGGCATTTGCTGACTCTTATGACGATAGGTTCTCGAGATTTGTTACAAGTGCGGCGTCAAAGTCGTGACCGTCTACGCCTTCAGTATAGAAAACTTCAACCGCCCGCAATACGAGGTCGATGGGCTTATGCAGCTGGCCAAGGTGAAGCTCGAACAGTTGACAAAACATGGAGATATCCTAGATCGATATGGCGCGGCGGTTCGTGTACTTGGACAGAGAGATCTGATCCGCAAGGACGTTCTGGAGGTGGTCGACCGGGCAGTCGACATGACCAAGTACAACAAGCAGTAAGTGCACAATAGCCACGCAGCAAAGAACTCGGGCTGACAGGAACAGAAACGTGCTGAACATTTGCTTCCCGTACACGTCGCGGGAGGAGATGACAACGGCCGTGCGATCCACAGTGCAGGAGTATATGATGCCCCCTGGACCCAAGTTCACGCCCTTCCCGGCTGCTCGCATCTCGCAAAAGATCATGTCGAAGCAACTGGAGCACCGAGAGCCCCTTCCGACCATTCGGGACACATCGCCAGCTCCCTCTTCACGGTCAGATGATGGTGCGTCGTCGTCGACTACTCTTCCTCCCGACTCGCCTTCACCGCCGAGGCATAACGGTGCCGCAGGCGGTCACCGCCTGAAGAATCCAGAGACTATTACGGCTGAGACACTCAACAACCACATGTACACTGCTGGAAACCCTCCGCTGGATATCTTTGTAAGAACTAGTGGCGTGGAAAGACTCAGCGACTTCATGCTTTGGCAGTGCCACCAAGACACGCACATCTTCTTTTTGAAGTGCCTTTGGCCCGACTTTGATCTGCAGCACTTCTTGCCTGTGCTTCTAGAGTGGCAGTGGAGGCAGAAGCAAATTGAGAGAGACGAGCGGCCGAGACAGGCGTCGGCCAAGGCGCGAAAGCTTGCCTGAACCTGTCCAACTGAACATAACGGCCGAATGTTTCCATGGATAGGCGTTACTTAGTTGATTGTCATTGTTGTGTCTAGCTGGAAAGAACCAGCTTCGAGGTGGTGTGCTCATGGTAGAGAGACCACAAGGAGGGAAGGCGGACCTGATACCACGAAAGAATGTTTGTAAACCACATTGATATCCATCAAATTCGATTTTCTTAGACAAAGTGTCGTTTATGTGTAAGAGGAGAAGTTGGCCGCGCACCTACAAATCATGGCAAGGTAAAGTTGACGGCGGAATGGCTTTTGGAATGTTACAAAGGAACGCCTGCTTCTTCAAGTTGTGGCGTCAACGATGCGATACCCCAGGAATGACATAGTTAATGTGGCTGACCGGAGATTGCTATTGTTTGCTGAAAGTGCGCTGCGCCCAACACGCCGGCTCTTGTTTTTCTTCCATTTTCTTTCCATGCCGCCAGGTCTCCAAATGGGCCCAGTAAGTGTGGCTGAGATGTGCGGCGTGCCAGGCACAGAGCCAATGGGAAACTGGGAAGGGACCATCCGCGAGCGATGGACAGGTTCAGGTAAGCTCCGCTCAGGCCTCAGGCCCAAATCGCTCGCTAAGTGAAGGATGGGGTCACTCACTCAACCGGGCAGCTAGGTCCCCAAAAGTGCGTCGGATGGATGATGGAAGATCCCGCGGCCTCGCTCTTGGTTTTCCTCACGCACTACCCCCTCTCACCAGAAGCATTCTACACCGTCTAGGTTTGCATATCGATCAGAATGCCTTAGGACTCTCAAAGTCTTTCTCGGTTTTCAAAAATCTCGTTTCCACTGACACGAGAACCCTCTAAACTTTCCTCTTCCTCCCCACGGCGACCCGTTCTCGACGCCCGTCACTGCGCCAGACCTTCGTTCTCTCCCTCTCTCTCTCTCTCCACGACTCTCGACCTCGCGCGTTCCTCGCGACACGTCGGTCGACATCGCGATGAAGTCGGCAAAGACGTCGTCGGGTGATACTCCTTCAAGTCGGAGATCCCAACCGGTTCGACAGACACGAACCAACCCCCCGCGCGTCTCTTCAGGCCTTCGAGGATCAGCGAATGGCCGAGACTCTCTTGCCGGCGGCTCTGCTTCTGACCAGCCCATCGACATCTTCCCTGCTATAACCTACTTCTCCGATGCCATTGCGGCCCTCCCGAAAGAGCTCGTCCGACACTTCACGCTTCTGAAAGAGGTCGACGCCAAAATATTTGCACCCGAGGATGCGCTCTTCAAGCTCGTCGACGCTGCCATGAATGCCCCTTCCCCACAGCCTCGACCAGTGAACGATGCGTCTAGCAGTGTCGCCCCGGCCTCAGCTCCGATGAGTGCGCAGAATAGCTCTAGTGGAGGACCTCTGGGTGGCCCAGCTCCTCCCCCGGCTCCCTCGACCGACGGCTCCTACGCGACATCCATCTACGACCCGAGCAACTTTCCCCGAAGACAACTGTTCCGGCAAACGGCTTACAAGATCCAGGAAATGCTTGGGTCGTTAGAAGAGAAGAACCATGTCATCTCGACCGCGAACGATGCTCTTCAGAAACAGCTGGCCCGAATTGACGATGTCTGGCCGCACGTCGAGAACGAGTTTACTGAGGAGGCGAAGTGGGGGAGCGATACCCATTGGGCATACCCTGAGAATAGAGCTGCCACCAAGGCGGCACACACCGAGCGTTCACGACGTGAGGGAGCCGCTGCAATCTCGGCAGCTGCTCAACAGCTGGCTGAGGAGGCCGCTGCTCGAAGCGACGCGCGCAAGCAGGCTGTCCAAGCCAAAAAGAGTCAAAAAACACAGGCTCAGCCTCAGGAATCCGAAATCGACGACGCTGAGGGTCGCAGCAAACCAGAACCGACCAAGAAAGGCCATGGAGGTGGCAAAGCACGTAAGGCAGCTGAAGCTGCTGCCAACGTCGGTCTGGGAATCTCAACAAATGGCAATACGAACGGAACCGCACCGCAACCCAAGAGACGCAAAGTCGAGAAAACTCCCAGTGGAAATAATGCAGCGGAGCGGGCCATGAGCACCGTCTTTGGAGCCACAGCATCAAAGGCGAAGACCACAAGCCCGAGAGAGACCCCAGCGCCCGAAGGCGGCGGTCCGAAGAAGCGAAAGGCGCTGCCGACGGGTACTGGCCAAGCAAAGAAGAGGTTTGTGTTCGTCCTTTTGTTTGCGACAGATTGCCATCAAAGACTACTTACTAACGCCTCGTGTAGCAAGAATGGAACCGCCGGCATGTCTCCATCGGTTGCTTCGTCTCCCGTACTGAGCAACTTCCCTGACCCAGTGTTGCCTCGAGGCTCCCCCGCGCCGACTGTAACCCCGGTACCCCCAGCTCCCAAACCTCCCACTGCCTCGAGGGCCAAGCAAAGTACCACACAAGCGGCTGTGGAAGGTGGTAAACAGTCTCGGCCGCCGTCGTCTGCTTCAGCAGCCAAGCCTAACGGAGCTGCGGTGACGGCGCCCCTACCTCCGCCGACGCCCGAAGCGTTGCCTCTACCCGTCTTGCCCAAGCCCGCGGTTGAAGCAAAAGCTGCTTCCAAGGAGCCCTCCGCGCCTCCTGCGCCAGAGCCGACAAAGAAAGAGCCCGATACGTCTGAGCCAAGCATCAAGCCCAGTATACCGTCGGCGAAGCAAAAGAAAGAAACACCGAAGCCCGAAGGGCCAGAGACGCCCGTCGAGACACCAGTAACAACTGCCCAGACGGCCACAGCTGCGACAGTGACGAAGAGTGGACGGGCTAGCAAGCCTTCAACACCAGCGATGGCAACCTTCCAGGAGGCAGCGAGACCCAAGTCGGCCCGCACTACGGACGGGACGAAGGCAAGCAAACGGAAGAAGAGCAGTGCGGTCATGAATACAAAGACTGCCAAGGCGGTGGGCCAGCCCGAAGAGAGCGACGACGTGGATGAATCAGAGATCCAGGCAGGCAAACGCAGTTATGATTATACCGAGGACGAGCCGACATACTGCTACTGTCAAGGTGTGAGCTATGGCGAGATGGTAGCCTGCGACGCAGCAAATTGCGAGCGGGAATGGTTCCATCTCAACTGCGTGGGCCTCAAGGTGGCCCCCACGGGAAGTTGTGAGTTTGATATTCCATATTGGTGGTTGACCGCGGATGTTCGTATGCTAACTGTGAACTAGCGAAATGGTATTGCGAAGTGTGTCTCCAGAAGTTTTCAAAGTCTGGCAAGAAGCTTAGCCACAAGTACAACGTGCTGCCGAATTCCCCCAGCATCTCGGGCAAGCCACGACCCCCTTACGCCTGAGTCGATTGTGACGAAAGCAGATGTGTGGGCAAACTGAGGGGTGGTATATACCACGTTTTAATATGGCGTTGGTTTTATTCTGCCATTTGGCATGGGATGTCTGGCACAATGCGATTTGGTCGACTCCTGGATACCTTTGAAGCAATGGGAGGCTCGTGTGGGAAATGGGATCAACTGGCTCAAGACACATATAACTTGCTGCCCCCTTTGGGAATGGAGTAAACAGTACATATTGCTGGGATGACAAGAGGCGCGCGGTGTTTTTGTTTTTCGAAAGTGGTTTACCTGGGTTGTTTGGGACACAGAGTCAGCAATCTGGCCCGTCATGTCGAAAGCGTTCTTGTCTTGTAACCGGTCATCTGCAAGTGGCCACGGCCGGTTTTCCCTCTTTTGCCCCTCTGTAGTCCTTTGTCGAGGGGATAGACGAGCATCTACGAATAATTGGGAGCTGCGGCTCCAAAAAAGTTCAAACATTTCCCCCCGTTGTTAGACGGGTTCCTCTATATGCTCGAGGATTCCCCATTTCTTGAGCATTTCCCCATGCCTTTCGGCTCGTGGGAGGAAGTTCTTCTTCGGATGGTTTCTTCCTTGCTGGCTTTCATGCCGTCCTTCCCCGGTGCTTTGGCCCCAGCAGAGTTTCATACCCCGTGGGCTCTCCCGCCGCGGAAGCTGAGCCGGGCGTCGGACCTAAAGCACCTCCTCCCTGCCTGCCCGGGCGGAGGAGGAGAGAGGGAAAAGGGAGCTCGTCCATGGGCAACGGTATCTTAAATGCATGACATCGTGACTTTTCTGTCCAGATTTTGACCGAGCAGTGAGATCCGGAGGATTTTGGGGGGGAAGCTGGTACCGTGATGCAGGGGACCTCCGGTGGGATAGTTCCCATCTACTCCGTATGTACTTTTTCGAAGTGCAAATGTCAACGTGGTCTAGGCCCTTGGTTTCAGTCCATGCGGAGAGAGAGAGAGAGAGAGAGAGGGAGGCGAAGAGAACGGCTTTTGGTATCTAGGGTCCAGCGCAGCTAATGCCCGAATTTGGCTAGATTCAAGCTACCTGAGGCAAGGTAGGTAAGTAAGGTACGGAGTAGGTTATTGGCCTCTTGATGCTCGCTCGCCTCCTTTAGTGAGTGAGACCCCGATAAGTCGGTGAGTACTTTGCAAGGTACGGATACTCCGTACTTACGTTGGGTGTAGGTATATGGAGTACATGACTGTACCCCATAGCAGAAACGAAGACATATTGCAGTCGTGACATGTCACATTCTTTTGGGCCGGGATGTAGTTTCCCGGGGTAAACATCTCCACCTTTTGGGAAATCTTTGACTTGAATCCTCATTAAGAAAAAAAAAACAGGGGGGGGGGGGGATCGTGTGGTAGCTGAGAGACGGCGTTGCCTCAAACGCCAATGTACAAGATCAATCATGTTGGGCGTGAAAGCTGAGGGGGAGTGCAGGCGGCGAACTCTGTGAATGTGATCTGAGGCTAAGGCTAATGAGTGTGTACTCCGTATCCATAGATGCACCGTTGTCCGAGGTAGTATAACTTTTCCTATCCGAGTTTGGTTTGGTTTGGATACGATGGGAATAGTACTTTTGAGGGGAAAACCTGGGGTAAGTTTGACGGGTCCTGAGTGGCTGGCTGTGCTGGATGGATGGCGCGAGCGCGGCAGGCATCTTTTTTGGGCTGTACGGAGTACAGCAGGTTGTGGTGT